CCGTGCTGTCACCTGCCCGCCTCCTCCCCCGCCCACACCCGTCCCACCGACGCCCGTCGCCGCCTGCCCGCACCCGATGTCGTTCTTCCGCGGCAGCAGCAGCACCGGCGGCGGCGGCGCCGCCGCCGACGTCCCCGGCGCATGGCCGACGAGCATCGGTGTGCCGGAGACGCTGGAGCTCCACCGCTACTGCCTCCTTGTGCCGCCGGGCTGCCGTCTTCCACGCAACTGGAAGATCGACGCGGACGGCTACGCGACGCCGGGTCCCGGCGCGACGGAGGAGGAGCTCCGCAACCACAGCGGCGGCCGGGACAATATCGAAGGCCGGAAGCGGTTTTGGTGCGGGAAGGACTATTGGGAGGTCATGGCCACCTTCCGCCTTGCGGCGGCCGGCGAGACCCCCGACCTGACGGGCCGTAGCGGCCGTCTTCGCGCACCGCCTCCACCGCACGATCGCCACAGACGTGGCGGCGGCCACGGTGTGCACCCGGCACCGGCGCCCGCGCCGGCCGCCCCTCCCTCGCCGCCGGGGATAGACTTGCCGCCGGAGCAGGTCATCCTCCGCGAGGACGGTGACCCGGATGACACACCGGGGTACCACGTGGCCGTACGGGCATCGGAGGCTGCAGCGGCGGCGGCGGAGGCGATGGAGGCCGCCGAGATTGCGGCCGCAATCCAGGCGGCCGAGGCGGCGCAGCAGGCGGCGATGGCAGCGCCGGAGTGGCAGCAGGTGCCGCCGGAGTGGCAGCAGGAGTGGGAGCAGGCGCCGGCGGAGTGGCAGCAGGCTCCGGCGGAGGAGGAGGATTCCGACGACGATCCGGTGGACTGGGACGACCTCGCCAACCGGTCCAGCAGCGACGATGACGGCGGCGACGGCCCGGCTGTGATTGATCTCGTTGATAGCGACAATGAGTAGTTTTTTTACTATGTTTTTTATTTAATTTGGTTATGTCGTTGTAAGAATAAGTAGTAGACTTTATGTATGAACTTGTAATCATCGAGTTCGCTCGACTATGTAAAATATTTTATCTATGTTGAATGAAATTTAAGTGAAATTTCTTTTGTCCTTTTCATTCGGGAGTTTTGATTTGATGATGAATTTGTATACGAAAATATGGTAAAACATAATAAAATAGTAAGGACGCTAAAGTACGTGATTGCATGCATGTAACAGAACAAAATTTTGCGAGTGTGTGTGCATCCCGAATGTAGTCCTACACGCACGATATGAACGAAATCAGACAGGAAACACACGTAGCTCAGTGTGTGTCCGGACATCGGTGTATGGTACTTTAGCCTAGGAAACCCTAGAAAATGCGTCGAGGGTTAAAAAATTGCGAGAATTGGAGTGTGTGCTGTGGATGGTGATGGCAATGTGTGGAAAAAGTGTCGTGATGTTTGACGGAGTAGAAAAAAAATCGTAGTTGGGAACCCCCTCCCCAGCAGACCGAGAAGTAGCTGGTTGCACTGGGGCTATGTGATCGCATGCATGCAATTGCACCAAAGTGTGCGTACAAGTGGGCACGGCCAACGTAGGCCCCCATGCAAGGTTGGAACAAAAACGGACACAAAACGGACGTTGCGTCACGTCCGGGCAGTGTTTTTGC